AAGAAGAAAAAAATGTGCTTTTATTTTTTATTTTCTGTTTTTGAAAGCCACTCACTACAACAGCAGCACATTTCTGGCACGCTCAACTTTTTTGCAACTCTCAGTGATTCCTTGAACCAAAAAGTTTCAAGTTCGTTGTTTTTCAGAAATCAGCGAAAGAGTTGCTTTCCATGCATTTTTTTTTTCATATGTAATTTTTAAAATGAATTTATTATACATAGTTTGTATTTATTTTATCTCATGGATAACCATTGACATTATTTAACATTAACGATTAATATCATTAACATTAACCATTTATTTTTCTCATGGGTATCCATTAACATTATATAACATTAACGATTTATATTATTAAGATTCATTTTTCTCATGGATAACCATTCACATTATTTAACATTAACGATTAATATTATTAACATTAACCATTTATTTTATCTCATAGATAACCATTCACATTATTTAACATTAACGATTAATATTATTAATATTAACCATTCATTTTATCTCATGGATAACCATTAGCATTATTTAACATTCATGATTAATATTATTAACATTAACCATTTATTTTATCTCAAGATTAATCATAAACATTATTTAACATTAACGATTAATATTATTAGTGTTAATGTTTTATTTTATCTCATGGATAACCATTAGCATTATTTAAAAATAACGATTAATATTATTAACATTAAAGATTTATTTTATCTCGATAACCATTAACATTATTTAACATTAACGATTAATATTATTAACATTAACCATTTATTTTATTGCACGGACAGCCATGACCATTATTTAATATTAACGATTAATATTATTAACATTAACTATTTATTTTATCTCATGGATAGTCATTAACCTTATTTAATATTGGTTAATATTATTAACTTTAACCATTTATTTTATCTCATGGCATTTATTTATTTTATCTCATTAGCATTATTTGACATTAATGATTAATATTATTAACATTAACCATTTATTTTATCACACGGACAACCATGACCATTTTTACTGCACATATATCCTTAGCCTATAATAGGAAAATTACGTCCTCCATCCTCAAATGTGTAAAACAAAATCAATGTAATTTAATTATATTAAAATGAGTTAACAAACATTTAACTAATAACAATAACAGGGCTTTTCCCTTAAATGCATTAAATGATAAAGAAATGCACTACACATTCAAGTTTTATTATTAATAACTTGCCAATGTGAATATTACTGAGGTATGAGAATATTTTCAATAGAAAAATAAGGTATTAATTATTACAGATACATATTTTCCATTATTTTATTGGATATAATAGTATGAAAAACTTTGGATTTTGTTAAAAGCAGTGAAAAACGAAAACCAGTTTATTGACCCTCGGTTAAGAATCCATGCTGTATCTAATAGATATCAATTTATACAGTTTTTAGGCAAGAAATGACTTAATGGCAATGGACATACCATTTCGGAGTACCTGTATGATTAAATTAATCACAAATAACTTCCGTCTTAAAAAGTGTTTAAAATATTAATACTTTAAAATTAAAAAAATTGTAAAAGTAAAACTTATAACTATAGAAATATAATCTTAAATTTTTAGATTTAAAAAATAGATTGAAAATAAAAATAATTAAAACTATTTAGAAATTACATTGAAATGACTACGGATAGTATATTGAATGAAAATAATAAATAAATAATAATAATTGCAAAATTCTTATCATTAATTCGATTATACAATCTTCGGCATCAACCAAGAAATAACTTTCTGTTGAGATACATTATTATAACGGAAAAAAATAATTATAAAGAAAATCTTTCGTTGAGTCATATGTAAGAAGTCGTTATGAAACAAGCCCAAAGTTGCAATTATCTAGAGTGATACAAGTTGCCAAATTTTATGTTTGTTTCACTACTTGATGAACAAGTTTCAGTAGTTGTAAGTATTTTTTTTAGTTCTTTAAACCTGAAAGTCCCATAATTTACATTTTTTTTTCTTCTCACATCAACTTTAAACAGATAACTTTTGAAGCTTTTGTCATAGTTTGTTTTATTTCTTATCAAGTGTTCTTTTGTATATCAACCATGTAAGGAATGTAATTTTATTACTGAAAAAAAAAAACTGGATTGCAAACAAAAAATTATTTAAAGCAAAATCACACATTTTTTATTATAATCATATTTTATTTTTAATAGCATATGATATAGCATTTGTTCTTTTCAATATGTTTACTTTTAAGATCCATTGCTTTAAATGAAAATGATGTGGCAAACCACTGCTTAATGGTAATATTAATTTTGAAATTTTACGATGTCTTTCAGCTATTTTGCCCAATTTTAAACATTCGTTCCATCAATTATTTTGAAATTTCCATTTCGATGGCCTGATGGACAAGTGACTAGCGCTCTGGCATCAGGGTGCCACAGGGTTCAAGTCCCGGTGGTGCCATGAATATTTGTAGTGGTTCGGAATTCATTTTAAGCCGTAAATCTCCGTCTAATATGACTATAAAGTGTTAGGCATAGGGCTGACAACTATACTCCGACAACTATACTCTATATAAAAGTCAGATCACGGAGTCAAGTCAGACTTCAACCTACGGGTGCTCCATCACAGCAGAAGCTGCCCCTCCCTTTCCCACTTTCCATGAGACCACACGGGCTCTTGGACTTGGTCTAGATGTTGATGTCTACGAAGGGTTTACGAAACAACAGCACTTCCATTTCTATACGAATCATTTTCTAGTGTATCTTCTTATCTTTATTACCCTAATAATACCATATGTTTTTCTTGAAAGGATATAAAATTCAGTGATAATAAAACCTTTATGTCAAAAATGTATTGTTGGCAGTTCACATCAATAGAAAAAATATATAAAAGTAATTCAAATCAATTTGTACAAACCAGTTCTCAGTTCTAAAACATAATCGTTCTTTGTAAGAATCTTTTTTTAACTTAAACAAGTTTTGTTATAAAAGTTCTTACTTCAGATAGTTCTTTTCTAGTTTTTCAGACAAAAATCTTTCCAGGTAATGGCTTTTTAATTAAACTAAAAAAAAAAACTAGTTTTAATGTTGTTTATACAGAATATTTTCTTTTTTTTTCTTTTGAGATGTAATTCGCATATTTATTTAAAGTAATTTAAAACTTTTATGTTCATTAACCAACGAGGAGTACTATTTTTAATCTAATTCTCGACTGTGACAAAAATAATAACATTTTGACGCTGTCACGACTTATCAAATTGATAAAATTACCGCTGCAAATCACCATGTTATTATTATCATTTTGTGCTTACTTTCTTGACTAACACGCCAAACAATTATTGATGAGATTAAAATAATTGACTACACTTTTATTTTTAGTCTTGAAATAAAGTACTTATTTAACTGAAATGGAAAACATCCATTGAGTCTTAATAAGGTATCATCAGCATTTTTTCTTATTTAACATCAGCAATTTCTTTTATACCATTGGCATGACTGTGCTCTCTTTAGATCAAATCCTTGAACAGATCTCACTACAAAATCTAAATAAGTGCTCTAGAAAGAAAACGGTTTATCCCTTGGTCTTTATTTTGGGTATGACTAGATGCATCTTTTAATTGATTAACAGCGAATCATCTGCCAACCAATTACTGACGAGATTAAAATAATTGACTATATACATTTTTTTTTAATCATGAAATAGGGCTGTTGCTACTAACCCCCCTCGTGCACCAGGTCCAGAAGACCCCTCTGCAGGTGACTGGGTCATGTCTGAGGGTAATATACAGCTTCACTTTAGCAAGGAACAACTAGGGTTGAAGACTGACTAAACTTCACGACGACGCTATACGATCATATCCTTCAGTTGCGTAAGAGAGAATCGTCCGCCAAACCAATTACTGACGAGATTAAAATAATTGACTGTACCTTTTTTAAATCTTGAAATAGTAAACTACTCACTTAACTGAAATGGAAAGCATCCTTTGAGTCTTAATAGATGTCATCAGCATTTTTTCTTATTTAGCATCAGCCATTTTTTTAATACCATTGGCATGGCTCTGTTCTCTTTAGGTCGAATCCTTGAGCAGATCTCACTAAAAAATCTAAATAACTGCTCTAGAAAGAATGGAAGAAGAGTTTATCCCTTGGTCTTTATTTTGGGTATGACTAGATGTATCCTTTAGTTGCCTAAGAGCGAATCATCACATGGCAAACAATTAGGGTGAAGATTTGGCACTGAACTGTTTTTATGCCCTTGGAAATTTTTGAGTTCAACGCTTCTTTAACTAATCTTAGAATCTCTAGAAGAAATCACTATTTTCAAACACACATAGGGTTAAAGGACAGAAAATTCAAGGATTTCTTATGTTTTTGTCCCAGAAAGAATTAAGCAATTATTCAAGAAATAAATGTCCTATGTTCCATGTTTTTGTATTATATTTGAGGATGAATCTATTATTAGATTTAAAGTTTGCAGGTTTCCATGAAATAGGCTTCTTGAGTCAAATCTGATATTTAATATAAAAGCAAACGCACAAAACATCAGATTGATTACAGAAATTCTATGATACATTTAATTTGTGTTTGCAAAATATTAACTTTTTAAGATTATATTCTAAAAGTATCTATTCTTTAGCCAACGGGTTAAAGGACAGAAAATCTGAATATACCGGTTCTCGTTAGATCAGAAAGTTAAGTCATTTAGGGGTTCCGTTTCCAAGAAATTTAGCCCCAATTACTAGTACATGAAGAGAATTAGCGGGGATGCAAATTATTATTAAAAGATGGTATAACCAAATGCAATGACTTGACGTCGGGGGATCGCCGAGGAACGCGGATTTATTTAAAATAAAAGGACAGTTACAAAAATACAAAATTACAAAAATCATCCACATACATTGAGAAGCCACTGCAGGTGGTTTGCCTTGGTTAAATATATAAAAATACATAAAAAAGTATTATATACATTGTTTCTGGATATTAACAAGTGATGTTTAAGGATGACTCATGTCACCTAAGTTAAGCAACATTGGGCGCGGTCAGTACTTGGGTGGGTGACCACCTGGGAACACTGCGTGCCGTTGGCAAATTTGGGACCTGAATGGCCGAGTTTGTCTAGCGCTCTGGCGCTCGGTGTCTCAGGTTTCGGGTTCGAATCCCGGCGGTGCCATGGATGTTTGTAGTGGTTCGGAATTCACTTTAAGCCGTAGGTCCCGGTCTTCTATGACTGTAAGAGCGTCACGGAGCAAAAGTCAGGCTTCTACCTACGGGGTGCTCCATCACAACAGAAGCTGCTTCCTTCCCCTTCAATCATGAGTCCATATGGGCTCGTGGGCTTGGCCAGCCAAGTGGGATAAGAAACAACAACAAACATCTATTCTTTATTACAAAAAAAATGAAAAAAAAAAATACATTGACTATGGTTCACTAAATGTCTAAATAATGGAATAATTAAACTCTTGCAGAATATAAAATAATTTTATATATGTGCAATTCATAAAAGGAAAGCATTAAAAAAGAAAAAAGATTAATGAATAATGATAATTTAAATAAATAAAAATCGTTTCTGAAATTTTCAAACCTCAATTCTTCCATCTTTGTTATTATATTATGTTTTTATGCATTATTCTAAAAAACTTTTCGTCAGAAAAACAACCATAATACTTAATTAAGATAATAAAGCATTTAATTTATTAGAAGGCTTTAGTTAATAATGAATAAAAATTTTATTAAAGTTTGATATATTTATTAATGGGTACCAAATTTATTTTTCTGAAGGTTTAGAAAAATTGGAAAATTTTCTTTATTATTATATTATTATGCGTTTTAAATATTTTATTTTGCACTTTTAAAAAAAAAACTTTTTTTTTATTCTACACTGGTGGTCTTAGTAGTGTTACGTATAATAATTAACAGTATTCCACTTATGTCTATTATTAATAATTATTATAATGAACAGTATTCCACTTATGTATATTATTATTAATTATTATCATTAACATACCACTTATGTCTATTATAATTAATTATTATGATTAACAGTATTCCACTTATGTATATCATGAGTAGCCAATGAACAGAAGACAATCTGTTGGAAAGTCTTTTAGGAGTAACTCAACCTATTATGTGTTGAATGGGAGGCAGCTCGGAAAACTCCCACTAGACACCGTAACCGTCGATGCGAGACGTTAATACATAGCTATCACAGATGTCATTGGGTCGTATCATTTTTGAAAGCTGTGGTAGCAAGGGATTGTTCCAACGAATTCAAACCTTTATCCTCCTACATACCATCTGCTCACGTTACCACAGAACCACGAAGTTCAAAATAGTATTTATCCATTATCAGAGTGATAAACGGGGAAATAACACTACTGTCTGGCCTAGTTCGCTTCTCGCTTTAGTGCAACAATAACAAAAACAGTTAAGGCAGGGATGTTTTCTTTAACCTTTCCTGTGACAGCAACGTCAACAAGGTCCTAAAATAAAAACCAGAACCTCGCTTGTGGAACCTGAGGGGACTGCATGTACTATATTTATTGTAAATAGGTCACGTGCCATGCAAAAGAATCACAAATTATTTACACTACATATTTATAATATCTCTTTAAATAATATATTATAATAAAAATAATATAAAAATCTGATGTGTGATGTTACATTAATTTAGCACGTGATTTAGTTATTGATTGAATTGTTGTGTTAATCAACCACAAAAGTGTTTAATAATATGGTTTTTATTTGTCAGTTTTTAAAAAAAAAATATTTATGTCTAAAAATGTCAGTTTATAAATATGTGTTAATCTAAACAGACTTGCACATTTTAATGTATTATTTAATAATTACTTTTGCTGAACAATGCCAGCAGTTTGGATCAGAGTGCCATTTTTACTTCCCATGCAGATGAAAATGACTTGGCAAAATTTAAACTTATGGTTCTTTCTCAGATCAAAACTAAATACCAAATTACAGAACTAAATGTCGACCTAAAAACAGCTGCTACTCTCACAAGATTAAGGACGAAGCACCACAAAAATATGAACATTTCTGCTGATGGCGTTAAAAAATACCAAAAATGTGGTAACTGCCCTGATGTCGAGCTTACTCCTCATCCTGTCTCTGATTGCCCAGCTGTTGCAGCCTCTACACATTGTTTGGGCCATCCTTCGGAAAATTTATACTCAGAGCTAGCAGTCAACATAGCCAATATTATTCGAGAGCACCACAATGTTGATTGCCTTGTACTCTGCAGGGGATACAACAGCAACTATTTTGTTGAGCGCAATTTTAAATGGAGCATGCTTTTGGCAATAAATATCATAGAGATAAAAATATCCTACATCTTGGCTAACAAAGAATCTCATTTTCTGGTATACAATAAAGTAGAAGACAATGGAATAAAACATTTTCCTAGCATTTCTTCTTTTTCATTTGCGCAACAGTCCCATAACGGGCTAAGGTTGTCTGTTTACTGGCAGATTTCGAGACAGGAAATGTTCTTGTTTTGACATGGTAGGGTTGTCAGCCCTAATCCTAACAATCATATTAGACCGGGACCCACAGTTCAAAATGGATTTCGAACGACTACAAGTATTCCTGGCACCACCGGGGCTCAAACCGTGTGTCATCGAGTGCCAAGGCGCTAGTCACTCGGCCACCAAGCCCCTTCTAGTGCTTCAATGTTTACATTTGTTTAAAACTATAGTTATGTCATGTTTTGTGATTTAATCAAAACTTGAAAATTTTTCAAAAACATTGCTGGTTATATTTTATGAATAATGAAAGTGAAATTTTATTCATTGGAAACTGTGGGTAAAAGAGAAAAAAACAAAACAATAAGTTATAAAACAATGTATTGAATTTTATACATCAGAACCAGATTTCCGTCATAAATTTAAATAAGACAAACAAAAGTCATTTAGTCTACAAATAAGAGAAACATTTATTGTTCTGAAGACAATATTTCCTTTCTATTAGCACATTGGATTTGAATTCATGCATATTTAAATAACCGGCAAAAGGAAAATAAATTCCTTTAACTATTTTCCTTAATTTAAATGATTCTCATTAAATGAATCAGCTAATTAGATATGAATCAGAAAAAAGTAAATGGGAAAAATGAGAAAGAACAAAGTTCGAAACAAAGAATTTTTAAACTGACGAGGATAAGACTTTTATTGTAAGGATAAATCAATGGGATATTTAGTGAATCATCACTTAAGTAACATTTTTTATATTGTTATTGTTAAATGATGAATTTCATAATAAAATAATGTAATTTTTTAACGATTTCTTAGCGAAAATATTACATTGATAAATTCATTTATAAAATTTTTTTTTCATATGAATCGATAAATTTCGTTACATCTTAAGGTCTTACGTTAGGTCTTTTTAATCATGAACATCTTTTTCAATGATTTTAACAACCCTGTCAATCTTTTTCGATCAATTTCAAATTTTAAATAAAATGAGTTTTTTTTAATTATTCCCTTGCTAAATAAAAAAATAAATTATAAAGCTTTTTTATAAAGCAATAATGATAATTTCCTTCCAAAGTCTTTACTCTTGGGCTATGGGCCCTGTAGTCCCCGGATTTAACTTATTACTTTATGATGAGTAATACAACTTTGGCGAGTCACTGTTTACTGATTTTTGAGTTCAACGTTTTTTTATCACAACGATCTTTTTCGGTGATTTTGTAATGAAATTCCTAAAAAATAATATCTCTCGTACCTCCTACATGAAGAAATTACATTACTACTACATTACTTAAGATGCTGTACATTTTTTATCTCTAAATAAAGCCCAGTTTCAATTGTAAATGACAAATATGCAAATATTTTTTAAATTATTCTTAGAATCATTTATGATTTTAGTATATAGAATCTATTAACTAACTAACTATTAGTAATAACTAGTAATAACTTAACTAACTTCCTGGTATTACAGTCAATATTGGACCATGGCTGTCCGCCTCAAACGTCTCCGAAATTGATGACGTTTTCATTTTACAGGGTAGGGTTGTCAGCTCTGCGTCCAACCTTTTATAGTCTTATTAGAACGGGAGGGGTGCCTGATGGCCAAGTGAATAGCGATCTGGGCCTGGGATGTTTGTAGTGGTTCGAAATCCACTTTAAACTGTAGCTCCCGGTGTAATAGGATCGTAGAGAGTTTGAGGATAGTGTTACTCGCGTCCGTAGCATATCTTCAAGCTACACGTACCACATGGGTAGTGCTAAATGAGTAACAACGTTCGTCGGTGCAGTCCACACGACATGCCGTTTTCAAGGCTAGTTTGTATTGTGCTGCTCACAGGGACATGGACAATACGATTCAAGCCTCGACGTAACTTAAATAATGTTAGGCTGGGACCTACGATTTAAAGTGGATTCGGAACCACTACAAACATCCACGGCATCGCCGGGACTCGTATCAAAAACCCGTGGCACCGAGCGCCAGACATTTTCTGTAATACTTAAATTCAATTTTTTACAATCAAACTTTTCTTTACTTGCTTTGGCTAAGTAAAAATAATTTTCATTAGTAGGTAATTGGTTATTGTTTAACACAATACAAAGTGTCAACTCAATATATTTAATTGTTTTTCATTTTCTCGACCTTTCAAACATTAGTTACGTTACACCTAATTTCGAGAAGCCCTGATTTTCCCTTTCGGTGGGTCACAGTAAAACATTGAACTCAATATTTCCTCTCAAGAATTTCGATACCGTGTCATGGACCTTTCTTTGGTAGGCTTCCAAGAGAGTAAATGTAAACATCTGCTGCGCCTAACCAACTGTCAAAGCAGAGAAACAAACCTCACTTTTTATTTCTTATTTTTCTCTTGAACCTCTTGTTGACATTGGAGCAATTTCAACTGAGTTTTACAAACCTCGGGTCTCGTGATTCTGAAGGATTCACTTCCTGAAGGTATAAAAAAAAATATTTCCGAGAAAAGTTTCACAAAAAAAAAGTCTATCCAGATTCCGGATATATTTGTGTTAAGTTCCGGTTTCAGAAAATATTGTCTTTCTTTTTTTTTTGTTATCTGTAAGATTTATGGCGGATAAAATAAAATGACGT